TATATATATATATATAGATTCGGAATTTAATTATTTAGTTACATATATAGATGGATAAATCAAATGATATAGATGAATAAAAAGCAGACCAATAAATACCAAATCAAATACGCATCACATATCATTCGAAGTGGCTAGTTATTGTGTCATAAAACAGTTGTGAAGTATGCAATTAACAGAAAAAGCAAACTATACTATAGATCAATTTCACTTAAAAAATGAACAGAGCAATAGCCGCCTTTCATGATAGGTATCTATCCAATTAAAGCTGTTTACGGACTGCTTCGATCGCAATGCAAATACATGAAAATACAGATGTGATGTCTTCTTACTGACCATTATAACTGTAGTATTAATAAAAATAGTAAGCGAAATTATTGTGTTATACTTTCCTTACACATACATTTTACTTGTACAAAGATAGATTGATGAACAGAGCAAAGAAAATCGCTGGTAGTAATCGAACAACAGATAAATTCGCAATGAGAATCAAAAAAATATTGCGCAAAACACAAAACTGCTGCTGATAATTTGTGCCCTAATAGGATAAGCATATGAAAAGAAACGACAGATCGGCACACGTTGAAAGACAACAAACATGCTTACGTATTTTTATAACAACAAAAATCCAGTTCATTCATACTTTCATCATGGATCTACAAATTCCAAAAGAATGAACATCTGTGAAAATGCAAATACAAAAGCAGATCGTCTACTAAAAGAATTCATTTCAAATTTCAGTCTTCTCATTGCTCGCGATATGTATACAAACTGATGGCTCTAATTGCAAACGTCATCTATCTGTGAGCTTCGCTGAATCTAACTCTTGAACCATTGAGAATATGTGTACGTACGCAAAATCATTGTTTCATTTGCTGTAATATTTGAATGCATGGACGGACGACTAAATGAAGAAATGCGTTTTAAGGAATAAATAACTCACCAGAAGACCACACACACACACACATACACGTATTCGATGCGAAATGATCAATGATACTTTAAATCAATTGCCCTCAAAGCAGAACTTCAACTAACATCAAGCGAGAGTGAAAGAGCAAGAGTTCATTAAAACATATTGCTTGTTCGTTTAAAGATAAAAGATAAAAGCAGTGGTGATCAAAGGAAAACAAAGCTTTCAACGAATAAAATTAAAAAAAAAAACTCAATACATTCAGTGGCAGTGCACTCTCTACGAAAAATGTCGACCGTACTCTGGTTCGAATAGTGTCGAATACTGTTCAGTGGAAAAGTGGCTAGAACTTGAGTTGAACCTAAAGCGTAAGGCTAAAGCTGAGCCTTAAGCACGGAATTAGAAGCCAATTCAAAGTTTCAAATTTTCGGTATTTTTCTATTGGCCCACAACAATAACGGAAATAAAAACAAGCAGTAGCAGCGATAAGAAAATAGATAATATAAATCACAGACAACCACTGATTACAGACTTGATTTTTTGTATGGTTCTTTAGGATTGGAAAAGGTTCACAAAAGTTGATCGTGATTACAATATCAAATAATATTCAATTTAAGTATTATATGCTCCTGTTATAATACAATTACTTGAGTAACTGGATGAATAAAAGCATAAACAATAATCCAAAACATCTGCAGTCCGCAACGAGATTCTCTTCGCGGTAGTCAATTCGAGCGAGGTATTTTCGAGCAGACAAACTTAGAGACTTCTTTCTGCATTAATGAATGATCACCTTTAAGATGCACTTTACAAAATATACAACAGATCAAATGCAATCAGGTCAAATGTTCTAAAAAAAAACACACGCGCTCACATTGCCAATCAATCCACAAAACAGTTCTTGTTCTTTTTCCTCAAATCAATAATCAAAGTTTCCTTTGGTATATTGCAAACTATACCGTATAAGTATTGTTGCCATTAATATTATTATTATTATTATTATCATTATCAACAAACACTAGAAGTCATCATTGCACACACATTCTCTTCTGATGAGCACAATACACTAATCGCGCAAAGCACCTAATATCTTTTCGGCCCACGTGTCTGCGTCATTTTTCGTTTCAGCCAACAATGAATATACCCGCCGCACAGTTTTGATCTATAAATGAATGATTTTATAAATGAACATTTTATGAACTTGTTCAATTAAATTTAACTATTGAGACTGATAGGTAACACGACAGGAAATAAAAGGCGATATTAAGTGAATAAAACGCGTTTCATCATTATGAACAGCATCTCACCTCGATAAGTGGCTTTCTAAGCGCATGACTGCACGACGTATCCACTGCTTTGATATCAGAAAGTTCAATTATACCACGACAGTTCAAGTCTGTTTCATTTTCATAATATCGTATCTGTAAGAGATATTCATATATCAACAACACTCAAACTTTCCTGAAATATAACTGATCGAACGAAGAAGAGAGCACCTGATGTCGCATCGAATCGAGTACAAACCAACGCGGTTTCCACATTTTGAAAGTAGCACCTTTCTTCATCAAGAAACCACAGTGTGTTGCGTTTGTGTGCGGATGATAACGACCCATACTTATGGTTAACGTCTTGCTATCTTCACCATTCAATCCTTCAAATTATTATTACATAGTTAGCTCACCGTCTAGTTCAATCTTTCTTGAGAAGTGCAACACTGTCTACGAATGAGCGAAAACTGCATGGAATGAGTGCAATTTTGTTCGATTCTTCAAAAGTATTGAGCCACTTTCTAGCTCTTTTGAACATAGCTATTCAATAGCTACTGCATTTTAAAGGGGCGCAAAGATTTGATCACGGTTAAGGTGAACAATGAAAATAATAATAACCATCAATGGAAGATGGTTTTGAGAGAGCACCTTCAACGGATACTGTTTGAGAGGGATCTGCAGCTTTCGGTGTGACAGATCTACGCTGTTTTTCATCTTGTACCATCGACGTTGACTGAGTTGAACTGCTGCATATTGATGATACTAATTGTGAGCATTTCTCATGACAAATCATACCACATCCTGTACATCGGTGAACTTAAATTTTATTCAATTAAGCACTCTTCCTTTCTGTCTAAATTACAGCATTATCTGATGTTAGATTTTTTCTGATTTTATTGCAGAATAAACAGCAATAGCAAACATGACAAAATGATGAGAACAAACCATTGCGAACAATTACACCAGGTACATTTTGATGACAAACCGCACATGTATCGCCGACAGTGACGTGCTGCGAAACGAAATGATGATGACCAATGTTTCTGAACAAAATCAATTAAGGTCTATAATATTATTAACAAACAAATAAAAGCAATAAACCACTGACGAGCCATTTGCAATACTACTGTCACGCATTCGTGTTGACGAAGTAGCTACGGTATTTGTTTGATGAGTGGATATACCACGCAATAGCAATTTTAATGTTTCTTTTTTATGCACTGCGCGCTGCAAATGAGATCGCCATTGACTGATCATCGTTAACGGCTTCGGTTGTTTCGTGTTGAAATCATGAAGCTGAAACAGAATCCTAATGGTTTGAAGCAGTAACAACGGGCAAAACACAATCACTTTTATTGAATACACGATATCATCTTCGAACTGAGCATTACAAGTGATGACGACAAAAATTTTTAGTGCGAGATGTGGTCTTGGATAAGTTTTGATTTGACGGTGGTTGTTTTCATTCGGGCTTACGCTTGTCGAGGTTTAAACAATAAACAAGTAAATAGAATTGAAACTCAACACATTACAGATAGTTGAAGGTGCTACTACAAAGAAGAGGATAAGATATAAACAAAATACAAACGGTAAAACTGATAGAAGCGGGGTTTGTTGAACTGATGATTGCATCAACAGAGTGCATTATTGACTGACACGATTCATTATTCGCTGCGCTCTTTTCATCCTCGTTCGACGGCGGTAACAACGCTCCAATACGAGAATAATTCTGAAGAACATAAATACAGCATCCGAATAGAATTAAATCGAATAACAATAACAGTAGTTGAATGAATGGAATGAAACGAACATTAAGATTGGTCGAAAATGCATCTAGATGGAGCAGTTCCATTTCACGATAATTTGCATCGAGAACTCGTCTTGAAGATAGTGATAAACCTTTAGAATGTTGCATCTCTGTGACACTCGTACATTCAAATTGCTCATCTTCACGCTCCTGTTCTTCCAATTCAGCAACTTCTAGAACACAAACTCATTGCTTCAAACATTTATGATACGTGCATCAGCCTGACTAATTAAGATAAATAAACAAACATAATACTACAAAAGAAGAATGGATAACATATCGACACAAACAAACAAATGCGTGATGTGAAGCTATTTATCGATAAAGATAAATTTACTACCGAGATCGTACGGTGATCCATGCGCTAAATAGTCTTCGACGAAAAACGACCAAACTGTAACGCTTGCGATGCTAGCTTGAGGGCGTAGAACACCCGTATAAAACTGAGGTGCATAACAAAAATTTGCGAATATCGGGGAACTGCAAAAAAAGTTACTATAAGTGGCAATAACGATGACGATATGATACAAGTTTTAATCAACATAATCAGTAAACAGCGTTGTACCGTTACAATGCACTCAAAAAGAAGTGAATGCAAACAGTCTGATTAAAGAAAGCAAGTGAGCACCTTTTTCGTTTTTGATTAATGTAATTCCAGATTGATGTCAATGAAGTTGTGAAATCATCACTATTGTTACTGCTTGTCGAAGATGCAGAGCAGAGTGAATCGAACATTAACCGTTCACATTCAGAATCGAGCAAAAACGTTCGGAAATGTGCCGATGACGAATGATAGGCCAAGAAACGTAAGAAGAAATCGTTAAATTCAAAAGCGGAAGGATACTGTTCATGAATCTGGAAATAAACGTGGATCATCAATCATCGATTAGTGTCATCATCAAATAAATCGATAAACAAGAATGAACAAATGAAAAAGACCTGATGAAGTGCATCAAGAAACATCAAAAACATCGGTGCAATACCACTGTTCTGCGATGCAACTGAATGGTTGGCACGATGCGAGAAACGATGTCCGAAGGCAAGCCATTCCTTCTCGATCAACACTCGCAATCCATCGATTGTCCTAAAACAACACCAAATAAGCTATGATCTTTCTTCAACATAACTTCTTTTCAATCACATCTGTACTGTTTATACGGAAGAGACTCTTTTGTCACGATTACAGGAATTCCCACTTATACTGGAATATGCTGAAAAAACTGTGCCATAGTGCATAATTTTTTGGGCTTTGACAGAACTTAAAACTTTTCCAGAATTTGATGCAGAAATCAATGAATTCTACGTGTAGGAATGGAATTGATTACGATCTACTCAGCCAATCAGCCGAACTGGCGAACAACCAATAATTTCATCGGATAATCAATTTAGTTCAGAAGTGAAACTGACCTGTAGAAGGGATCGAGAAGTATTTGCGACAAAGAACTGAGTTGACATGTAGCATCCCAACCATCCTCAATGCACAAACAAACTGACGAATGCTGTACATCGATGAGGTCAACGACTGCGTTCGAAACATTCAACAACGAACAAATCTACAGCAATTTTCCATTACATTACACAGACGATAATCGAAACGAAACAACGTTCAAAAGTGAATCATTCAAAGTCACCATTTGTAACCAATTTGTATCGTCCAAAACCTTCAAGAACGTGTTCGAATGATCATTCTCGGACTGTATCCAACTGGGACACATTGCTCGTAAAAATTTCTTGAAGGCTATTTTAACGTTATGTGCTGATGGATACGCTACTGGTACAAATTCACAACCTTTTTCTAGCTTCATCATCTGAAATTTTGTTCACTTCTTTCCTATCCTTCAGTTGCTGATGAAAAAAAAAAGAGAAAATACATACAAACGTATAATGATCATCGAAACTAATCAAACTAATTACCATTGACAATCAACAAAACAAATAAATGAAATGAAATTACCTTTACTTGATTGCGATCACCAAAAATATACATTGAATTTCTGGTCAGGCTGATCAACGGTCTATTCGTGAATTTAACATTACAACTAGTGGTGCTGTTATTACAGCTTTGTGCAGAGGATGAGGACGATGAAGGCAAGAAGGTATTTGCACGTCTTGTTAACGGTTGTTGACGGCCAATTCCCATTGAATACTCACTGCTACCGCCACCATATATCATTGCGGCTGCTGTTCGCGCCGTGCCTAACGCTAAAACTTTCACTCAGTATTCCACAACAAGTTCAGTGTCATCCAACGATGGGCAAAAACAGCAGGCATGCAGGTAGTTTTCGGCGAAAATGAATTAACTTCTCAGAATTATCACATTGCATCTTCCCTCGTCTTGGAAACGGCCAATAAATATTACTGTTCTAGGATTGGGTCGGGGACCCCTAGGTACTTTCAAGGTTTCGAGGACTCCGACTGCAACACTCATCTTCGTGAGCTACAGACGTCGGGCACTCTTAGCCCGATTTTGCCCCCCACCCAATCCTATTGCTGGTTTATTAGGAAGGAAGGAGGAAGACGGGCGATTTGGCCACAATCGTAATCCAATTGGGCGATTGACCAAAAAAAAGCATCATTACAAAAGGTGAACGATAAAGAATATATGATAGAATGAACAGCAAACAAACCACAAATAACGAACATTTCATTGCAGCTGTTTTTGCAGTAACGTTGTTGCTTTGGACGTAATTGCCTGCATATCTTATGGAATCACTTGCGTAAGTGCTCGATGAACCAATACCACTAGTCGTTTGCATGGAACATGATGGAGCAGATGAATTTGATAGTGAATATGGTTTACGAGCATTGTCAGGTGTTGCAGAGCCCAATGAGCTTGCATCGATTGTGATCATTGAATTCAGCGACAATAACGATTCCAATGATTCCGATAACAGCAAATTACCATCAATACTTGATGTATGCGGCGATAATGCCATCAATGTATTCATATAACGCTCCTGTAACGATTCAACGTTCAAATTCAAATAACAATCATAATAATTACGAAGAAACAAACCTGCATTTCAACGGTATTCGGTGGTGAAGAACTATTGAAGAAATCATTTCTAGAATTCAATGAGATACGTGATCCGGTATTGCCACCAACAACAGACGACGAATAAGAATGTGTATCACTGGCTGTTCCAACGCTAGCACCTCCAACTGCACCTAATAAATTCGCCTGTTTCTTGAGGCGTGCAACCACTGTTTGTGATGTCAATGAAGCACCACGTATCAACAATGCTTCTGAATGACTCTTCCAAACGACCACCGGAAAACGACCGTGTTTGAAGCCTTTGTTGATCTTTGTGAAACTTTCGTCCGATATACTCGACGGTACCACCAAAACACTCGGATAGCTAAAATCAATCAAACAAAGATATGAGAATTAACAGACGAAGAACAACAATAACCTTTTTGATAGTTCATATTTATGATTCATATTCGAAAGTCGAAATGCTTGATGCGTTAAACCAAGACGATCATAGTCAAGCAGATAATGCCGATATAACTGATTTGTTGCTGTGTCGATAGCATCTGAAAATTGCAATTCATTATTAACGACACTCGATCATCTTAAACAGCAATACAAAAGCAATAAAACGAAAAAAAACAATATTCATAGTAATAACCAGAGAGATCCAAATAATCTGAGCAATTATTATTATTCGACAATCTTGCTGTGGCTGGTGACGCATTAGCAGAGAAGCTTGTTGTAGGTAATGTATTAATATTATCATGCAAATTGTTACTGTTATTATTATTACTACCGTTCATCGTATATGTGCCCAATAGCAATTTGTTGAACTGTGATCGGTTTGATGATGGCGTTACACGTTTCTTCTCCTTTAGCGGATTTCTTATCAATAATGTCTTCTTTAATTCCCTTCAATTTTAATCAAAATGATTGAGGAGAGTCATCATTCATATTCAATAACAATAAAACAACATACCTAATTGTACCATATTTGTGTTTATTATTAGTGGCGACCAGTGATGAGTTTAATAAAGAAGCTGCTTGTGAGTAAGCAAATAACGTGTGCGGTAATTGAGATGGCCATCTCAACGACAGCAGTGTTTCAATGAACTCATCCGCCTTCTCACTTGAAACCTCCTCGTCGAACGCCACTTTCATCAACTTCAACAATAAAAACAACATTTCAGAATGTTTCAAAAATACCATTGCTTAATAATAAGTAATCTTAACCCAACCCATTTATTCGTACATGATAATAACAATAATTATGGACGTACCTGAGCATTACAGGTTCGAATTTGAAAAGCATCATGAAGTTGGTGTGCAATACGCAGAGGTATTCCGTCCAGTTGAGGTGTATTATTTAGCAACGATTGATCTGCTATTTGTTTCTCTTTTGTGATCGACATTATTGCTATTGTTCGTACCACTACTTGTTCACACACTTCAAAATTACTCCTATTTTCACTTGATCGTAACCAATTTGAAGGCACAAAAAATTGAAATGCATCATTATATACTGACAAAATGGATCACACGGTTGTCCTTTGAAGATCACTCGGTAATTCGTCAAGAAAATCGCCCCTTCGGCTGGCAGTAAACACTGTGGAGTAGATGCTGCATCCGCGCTGTAAACACCCTGAGTGTTCGTCGCGATTGTCATACGACCATCGTTCAACAAGAAGACACGCATTCCACCGATTAGAATGCGTTCGGCTGGTAGTAGTAGTGCAGGTTGTAGAAGTTTTGGCTGAATTTTCAAATTAAAAAACTCATATTCATTGCAAAATTGCTGGTACGACTTACTGGTTGCGTTTTTAAGAAGTAATTTTTTTNTTTTTTTCATTTCAAAGGATAACTCACTTTATGCATTGGTGAAAGACGTTTACTTTCCGTATAGACTTGTTCCAAGTTATCGATATGTAATGCAACAAAACCAGGTATTTCATCGCATAAACGTTCTATCTGAGCATGCTCAAGTCCAACTGATGAACAAATTCGATCGATTAACCTAAACGAAAACAATTCTCAACAATATATCGTCAGTTATTTGTGGAAAGAGAAGAGCAAGATACCGTCTAATCCATTTAACAGTCACATTTCCAAGGTCCCCATCATCAGATTCAATGAAACCACTTTCGACATCACTCTCTTCACCACTCTCCGAAGCCATCATATCGCTGATAATTGCACTCCCAGCGATCGCCGACATGCCCATAATATCAGAACCAACGTCCGAATATTTCGCATTTCTTCGGGTTGCATTTCGATCACTTCTTCGCTCTAATTCTCTTACGTTCACACGACGTAACTTCGAAACATCCAACGGAATACGCAAGTAAACCATCAAATTTATGTAATGCTTCGCCTGAAAGAATTTCTTTTTCTCATCTTCAGTCATGAGCAATGGTATGGTTCCTAACGACATCAATCTACGAATGAAATCAGATCGAGCAAAACGATTCAAAACAAATAGATGGTACCTGTCCGAAAACAATGGAATTTTCTTCAGCAGCGAATCGCTTCAATTCGCTTTCATCATATTTCGACGCTTTCTCAAGTCGTTCACTCACCAAGTCCATTCCAGATGGTTCTTCCATCAGATTCCACGTATCGCTAACATTCTGCAGCAAATTCGTTCGTCAACAGGGGAGCAATTTAAAAAAAAACAGTCAGTCTGTCCGCCTACCGGTCTCTCGCTTGTAATAAGAACACTCGAAAGAAAGAAGTTAAAATAAGTAAATCAATTTTTTCTAATGAAGAGAACAGGAAATGGTTTCACTAACCTCGTGAACAGAAAAGGGACAATCAGAAGTGTCATCTTTGACAGGCATGTATAAACGACGTAACTGCCGATGTACATCATGGAAGAAAGCCGCTTCCCAGAACTGCTCATTCTCCCAAACGTCATGCTCTTGTATACATGTGTATACGAACTGATGCACACCAGCAGTCAAACGCTATAATTATTTTCTGCCATCATTATCGCTTTATCTATCAAAAGTGAACAAACGAACATTCAAATTAACCATTAAATACAATAATTAGAATATATAAGAACGACTAGTGCACTTACACGGCAATAGATATTCGATAAATACAACATTGCGTATGCGATCCCGTGCTCATCTTCTTTTGATTCTTGCTGAAACAAGTGTGATTATCATATCATACCACAATAGTACATTCAAAGGATACCTTAAGAGCACAGTTGATGAGTCTAACGATCAACTCGAATTGTTGAGGCAACAGCGTGGCTCTATTAACTGGATTCAAATTCAACCATAACAACTGACATAAAGCCACTCGCGCATTCACACTTCGCATCGATAATTCGACGGCACACAGCATCTTGAACGACACATTAAATTATTAATTTCTCACCAAATGAATTCGAACCAGTGAATGAATGCAGTGAGATGAAGTTACCCTAACCCTTCGAATGATCTGAATCATTCTTCTGAATCTTCCACTTAATGCTAAAATCCTGCAGTAACCTTGACTATGAGTGCCAGTTACAAGCCTTGCCGCCTAAATGTTACAAAATTTGCTCAAATCAGAAAGGGCATCTGACTCTAGAATATGTTATCAAATACTAAGTACAAACAACTAAAACAAAATCGCTGTGGCCAGGAAAAGCAGTCGAAAGGGAAAGAATGAAGCAGTGGAATCACCTTCCTCGCATCAGATAATTTCATATCGAAGATATATCTCAAGCAAGAACTCAACACTTGCAATCTCCTCGAAACAGCCGCATGTCGTTCTTCGTTCATATTTATTAACCAATTGGTTGTGGTTGGTACTTTTCTTGCTCGAATGTAATTATTATTCGAAACAGAAGTAACACCACTTTGACCAACAGCACTAGCACACGATGATGATAGCATAACTGTACCGGACACACCACCACTTGTTGACAGCATTTTCTTTTGTTTCTCTTCTATCAGTCGTGCGACCTGTTCAAATATAACATACATGTCTCATTCAATTACTATTATATAAGAAAACAACTAACCAATTTCTCGTCGAACTGCTGCAGCTTTGTTGGAAGATTCGAAGACATTAAGAAACGTTTATGCGTTAGCAACGGCGTCATCGAGAAGGATGTGTCTTGATGTTCCTTGAAATTCATTCATTCAGTCATTATATCATTCAAGTAAAGCTATATATATATATATA